AGCCAGGGTCTGCCTTCTTTCACCGTCTTTGCTCGAGCGTGGGCTGAGAATAATAGCTGAAAAATGGGCTGAGAATCTCAATTTTACTGTCTCCCGACGCGAAGGGGTTTTAAACAGTCTAATATTCAGTGTTTCCTTCTTTATTTCTGATTACTTAGACTGGCTTTTTTTCCCAAGCTGCCTTACAGACAAAATGTCACACAAGACCTGCCTTACAAACAATTTCATTCAAATGGGTTTATAGCACTACACAGATGTTATGCACCACTGTAAAATCATGCTAAGTAATAATTCAGTGAGACAATGTAATGCAGGCCCAGTGACAAGAAATACCAATAAAATTCCAGGTGGTCTTAAACTTTTGAAAATGACTCTAAAATCAATCCTTCAAAATCATCTACCAGCATTATTTTCAAGAAAAAGTGGCCACTGCTTTTGTCCAAACAAGCTGTTTAACATGAAAACTAAGTATAAAGTGGAACCTGCAGTACCCCAAGAAAATCTCTGCATGTACATGTATCTTGTGTGTCACAAAGCTGTGGAGGCACTCCAGTTCTTCCTTGTTGAATGACATTGCATGATTAGGAAACCTTTCAAATCCAAAATGGTGAAATTTCTTCCTTTGACTGCTACAAAGAAGGTGGAAAGACGAATTTAAAAATGTAATTTTAACGTTGTGCTTCATGTATTCAAGTCATAGAAAACCCACTCTATGGTGTTACGGAGAAACAACAAAAAAGTGGAGGTTTTTTTATTGAAGTGTCTGAGCCCATTTGAATCGAAGAATCTCAACCTTTTAAGTCATTTCTCCAACTTGAACCACATCCTTCCCTCTACTATTGTCCATATTGTACAAGAGAGCAAATTGTCTTTACTAATGCTTTGAGCCATGAGGGATGAAATCAATTATTTTCCAGTGTTGGATAGTTATGTACATGTGCATGTACCAAAGTTTTACTCCTGGCCCAGCTATTTTCTTCAGCTGAGTGCACAACTGTTTTTTTCCCATTCACACGCACAGTGCAAGTCACACACAGAGACATGTACATGTACCGGTAGTCGGCACCGTCAGATTGAAGGGTGCACACACACTGTCTTCATTTCCTCACAAGACTAAATGGATTTACATGTGTACATCTGTCAAATCTGTAGAAATACCGGTATGCTAGATTCAAGTTGTCAAATGCTATCGATACAACGGTAAGGAGGTGGGGACTTTTTACACCACTAACAAATGAGTTTATTTAGCGGCTAATTAGGAACCACAGTCCACTGTCTCTTTAAATGAAGACTAAACCGGTATTTACAACTTTAGAATTACATGCTTTATCATCAAAATTCCATTGTAACTGTAGGAAATTGAATGTACAGTTAACTGTACTTGTATTATTGAGAATAATCAACACTTCACTAAATAGTTTGATGTCACAAAAGTGGTTTCCTTTAGAGTACCGTAATGTATAAAAAGAAGCTACCGGTAAGATACATGTTCCTATGGAGGTACTGTACATGTACATGTACACGTATGGAGGGTGAATTAT